ACACACACACACACACACCCACAACCCAACACCACACACACCAACACACACACAACACACCACACACACCACACCGGCACACAGCCACACACACCACACCACACACACACTAAGGTAAGTGTACCCCCCCTACCCGTGTAGATTGCACCAACCAGCACACACACACGTCCCGGTCGGGATCTGTAAGACCACGGGATCGCTCTCAAGTACTAAACCACGTGGGGGGTTCCTTATCCTGTTTTTTATATATTTCTTATTTAGTTTTTAGAGATGTTTTCGTGGTTATGTTGATGTTGTCCCAAGGGGTTAAGTATGAAATGCGGTTCCCGGTAAAAAAAGTTCGTACTTTCGGCTTCCGGTTTTACAATACACAGTGATTTTCGAAAAAATGTGTGACACGTCCTTACAAGAAGACACACACACACACACACACACACACACACACACACACACACACACACACACACACACACACACACACACACACACACACACACACACACACACACACACACACCAATTTGATACATTTCCCACTCTTATGTGCCCATCCCCCCACATGGATCACACCTGGCACACGCAATACATTTTCAGTGTCTATTCTTTGTATATTTACTGCAGTTGTTCATGTATACCAGTAGTCTGATACAATATTTACAGTTTAAAAGGGTGTTAAATGAAATTTGGTGATTATTAATGTTTTTTTTCTTATCACAATTATTGTTTTTACTCTCCATTTTTACTGTTTGGTCCGCTGATAGCTGCTGTTGCAAAATTGGGGTTTTATTCTGTACGTAACTTTTGCATGATAAACGTGAACTGCCTGTATTGTAAGGCTTACTGCATTTGGTCTTCAGAAGCAGTAAATGCATTTCATCCTTGATCAAATGTTTATGAATAGGAAAAGCGTATGATTTCGTCAAGTAAAAGCATTCACCAGTTATTAATAATATCTTAATTATGGAGGATTGCTGATACTAGATGAAGTGCTGACTCGCTTATACTTTCAGACTTCTTGCAGCCTTATTTAATTCAATATACTTAAGTTTGAGTCCATATTCCAACTTTCATTCTATTTATTGGAACTTGTATTCCATTTTTAAAGGTTCAGCAGCAACTGGAGGAGGTGGTGATGTTCAGCTACAAGTTCCTGGGAGTGCACTTGAACATTAAACTGGACTGCTCAGAAAACACTGATGGTGAGAAAGGCTGGCTCTGTTGTTGGAGTAGATCTGGACACTCTGGAGGAGGGGAGGACGAGGAGGAAGCTGGACTGTATCCCTGAGAACCCCTCCCCCCATGCAGCACTAGTGAAGATGAGGAGCACGTTTAGCCACAGACTCATCCCTCCTCGGACACTCCTTTGGTCCTGTAGCATCAGGCTGCAGCATCAAAGGCTAACCATGTGAACAATTAAAGGTAACCTGTACAGTGTACACACATAAAGTCTGCCCTGTTTGTACAAATGACTTTGACCTGCACTCCCATCTGCACACTAACATGTCAATATATTTAACAATACCAACCCAAATATGTTTACATGTCAAGACAACTGATCAAAGTTTACCTTGTTGTGATATCTGGTTTTAATACTTTCTATATAATTGTATTTTTTTTTTTACCTCGTGTGAATCTGTACTGTCCTGTTTTTCACTCTCTCTCTGTTGCTGCTTTAACTCCTGCATTTCCAACGGGGATTAATAAAGGTCCATGGTTAAAGGTGAGGTAGGTAAGTTTGAGAAACCGGCTCGAGATACACTTTTTTTTATATTCCATGGAATGCTCATAATATCCCGATAGCAATGAATATCTGAAGTGCTTTGACAAAAAATCCATACAAAAATGTCATCTGTGGAAGCCGTAGTACTGTAAAAAGCACGACCAATCATTTCAGCCGGCCCGGTTTAAAATAACTGGATGGCCTACCTGCCTGTCAGCCTTCCATCTGTGCACAAACTTATCTCGTGCCCAAATTGGTCATGTGCACGTTCGTGTGTGTTGGAGGAGGGGCTCTGTAAGGAAGTGGCAGATTTTTTCCGGCTGTGTATTTTCAAATTCTAGCGCACCCGAGCTGGTTTCTCCAAAATTACCTACCCCACCTTTAACTTATCTTAACTTGCAGAAACATCAGCACACATTAATCAGATCAAAAACACATGTTTGTGCAACGGCTGGATGACGCGGATTTCATTAAATTAAGTTCCACAAAAAATTGTCACGGTTTATTTGATATATCTTCATTTTCTTCCATATTCAAACTGTTATGTTCCATTGTTAATCATTCCATACATTTTAAATGTCAAAACAATAATTAATCATGAAGCTGTCAGGGAGATTTTTGAAAAGAAGAATGCACGAATACCTGAGCCTGAAGGTCAAAGGTCACCATTGAGAAACACAGGTTGAGCAAGAAGTACTGCTCCTGGAGGGTCTCCAAGGCCCCACCCACACGGAACGCCATGATGTTGGGCCTCTGGATGAGCAGCAAGGTGCAGCAGACGTGGATCACGCCCAGAGTCATGATGCACACGAAACGCACCTGCGACACACACAGATCTCAGTTCAGATGTGCTTTATCTTGTACATATGGCATCCTTTATAGTATAACATCACAAGAGGGGCAGTAACTATGGCTCATTGAGAGTCAAGACACTCACCCTATTATCATAAATAGAAATGATGAATGTGGATGGTTAAGCATCAGCAAAGATCTACACACAGCAATGAGGTCCAGCCAGAGACAAAAATGTTATAGAAGCTCTGACTTGATGACAATGTTGATAGTCATCTGCGTTCCATTTGTCATCAAGTTTATTTATACAGCCCAATATCACAAATGTTACATTTCTGAAAGGGGACTTTACAGTTTGTACAGAATACGACCTCCTCTATCCTAGGACCCTCACATCGTACAAGGAAACACTTCCAAAGAAACCCCCCAGGTAATGGGGAAAATGGGAGAAACCTCAGGGAGAGCAACAGAGGAGGGATCCCTCTCCCAGGACGGACACACGTGCAATAGATGCCGTGTGTAAATTAAAAAGATAATACATTTTACAACATAGGTAGTCCAAACGTTTGGAAATGCATGTGTCTATAATAAGAAGATGAATCCAGGAGGATGTCAACAATCCTGTGGGAGCCATCGTGTGTTCTTACAGAAATTACACTTTACTAGCAGTATTAAGCCAATTTACTCAACTCCATCTTCTTGGTAGAGGAAGAACCCAGACAATGTTCAGAGATCAACAAAAATGACTACGCCAGATGAATTTGATACTTTCTTTATCACACTCTCCTCCCATTATATTTATAATCATTATAATATAAGTTTTCCAATTTCAGATGGACAGTGAAAGGTCAGATCTGATCCGTCTTATATTTCCTCTTGATTGTTGTTTCACATTCTAAGAATCGAACATATGTTTTAAGAACAAGTGTTTATTTTAAATAGCTTTATGGAAAAGTTTAAGAGTTTTAGAGATGTATTTGAAAATGTTCTTATGTAATGTTGTATGCCGTGTCATAATGTTGGTTTTGAATGTTGGGGTTGGCTGCATTTCCTGGCAGGTTATTGCTTTTAAAAGAAAAACATAGAAGAGAAAAAAAACACATTAGCACAATAACAGCACATTTTAAAGCACTTATGCACAATCAAAAGCACAGACACAAAAGCACATACAGAATCACAGATAAAGGCTCAGAGGCAAAGACATCTACAAAAACAATTATGTAAGCCTTACTCCAGTTAATGACAACTTTTTATTGTCTAATAAGCAAGTTTTTAAAAGATTGAGAGATGTTATGTTCCTTATTTCTGTGGGCCTAGTTTTCCAGGTATGTGCTGCCCTATGGGTAAAGGCTGAATGCCTAAAGCTACTTTTTCTATGAGGTTGATTTTGTTTTCTTAAACAGTCCTATGTCTTGGATTCTTTTTGATTTTTTCAATCAAAATGAATAAATCAGTGAAATTAACAGGAAAGCAGGTCATTAAAACATTTGAGTATTTGAAGATGATTCTCAAACTGTACGTGCCAGCAATCACAAAGTTGTTTTTTGTGTATGTATTATCATAGCGGTAATTGATTATTTATAATAAATGCCCTCATGCAGTGTGCTCTCTCAGGCAGCCAGTAGAAGGCGACCTACCAGCAGCTCCTGCTTGCTCTTTGCCTCCAGCACGGAGAAGTTGACGATGGAGCGAACCATCACCAGCAGCACGCTGAGCACAAACACCACCAGCTCCTGCCTGTTCTCCTGCAGCACCCCCCGGCTGATGTAGTAGATGCAGAACACTGCAGGGGGGGACACACACACCACACAATGCTCAGCACAGCAGAGGTCACTTCTTTACAATCAGTTGCATATAGCTACACTTTTCCATTTGCACTTTTACATGCACATTTTTTCCTTTATACAAAACCTCTATATGTCGGACTTCAAAGTCCTTATAATGCAGTATTTTTTCATATGTATTTCAATTTCTTCTTTGACTATTTTAATTTCTGTTTGGAAGAGCCTGAGATTTAAGATGTTCATAGCCATAACTACGCTGTTGCTATTGTGCATATGACAATAAAGCCTTTTAAATCCTTGAATTATACTTATTATGAGTGGAACTGACCTTCTTATTAACCATTTATTTTATAGAATATCAAAAAGAACAGGGTTTGTAAGGTTTTGTAACTTTACTAAACAAAGCGTATTAATCTCAACTTATTCATTCATTGAGTTTACACTCCCTTTATGCCCTCTCATGACTAAGCACAAATTAATGAAGTCAATTCAAATTAACTGTATGATAAAACATACAATTAGTGGTTGAGTTTCTGTGAATATGTTTCCATGCACACTACTTTACTTTATTTGTTTTTCCTATTATAGTCAAGATATGTCATAAAAAATAATTTTGTCATTTCTGTACTAACCAATTCATCTTAGCATTTAAGGAAAAACGCCACTGGTTTGTTGAATTCTTCATGTGACCACTACCAATTAAAGATGCAAGCCATAATATAATATCCAAGTGTCCTTGCTTTACTGGGCCTACCATTGGCTATCATGAATAACAAGTAAGAAGCTGGTTTTAAGTCTGATCCGTTAACTCTCTGGGTTTTCCAATCCTGCTCTGAGCATGTTCATGTGACCGAGGGAGAGCTGGAGATTAGAAGCAATGATCAGAATCAACAGTGGAGGACTTGATATGACTTTGGGAAAAGAAACATCATTTTTGGCTCTAAAATCTAATTAGCAGAGTCACCAGTTTGTACTGTAATACATCGCTCTTGGCTGCATTTAAGACAGGTTTTATATTTGGGAAAATAATATCTTGAAAAGCCCCCAACATTACGTTTCTTACCAGAAAAAAGTATATTTCTGGACGGCCCAATTCTTAATTTCTTAATATACAAGTTGGAGTTCTAGTTTAAAGTCGTCATGATTACATTGCCATCTCCTGGTATACTGGATTGTCACAATACTTCAAAGCAAACTAAAAAAAAGGCGGCAATTAAATGTGTTATTTCATAAAAACCTAAAGTTAGCAAGTTTATTCCAATACAAATCTCAGTCCAGCACATTTTTTAAAAGCTTAACTGGTTGTATCAAAATATTAAGATATCATACATTTCAATTCACTAGCCTAATGGGGCAAAACACACATGTTTACACTGTGGCATTACAGTATAATGCCTGCCTACAAATCTGAAAGTGAGTGTATCGAAACGTTTAAAGTAGCCTTCACGAAATGGTCAAAAAGTAATCGTTTAAATTAACAGAACAAATGATTAATGTGGGAGAATTATTGGCATATTATTGAATCAATAAGTAAATTACCCGTTAGTTTTAACCCTAAGTTTGTAATGACAATTTGGAGTATATTTGATTAGGTTTAAATGTGTTAAACAGAAGTGATACACCAGCAAAACTGATATGAGGCATCTGGAGGAAATGCTATTGCATTAATCTCCTCCACAGTATTTATCACAAGATCATTTTAGAAAGACTTCTGCTTTTTGCCAACAGTGCAGATGGCTCTACTTCCTGGTGACACAGTACGTGGCACTCCTACTCACATATTCCCACCATCTGGATGAGAGACACAGTGAAGTTGTCCTCGGCAGTGGGGTCCACCTCCGTGTGCTGCTGGTAGACGCTGTACAGGGTGAGGCCGAGCAGAGCCAGCAGGGACGCTACGGTGAAGCAGAAGTAGAGTCTGAGCAGACAGGACAGCTCCGACCAGGGCTTTATCTGAGAGAAGGGGGAGATGGAGAGGATAAAGAATGAGAAGCAACCTGTGATAAGGGCAAAATGTTCAGTGGAACAAGTGTCTGCAAGTCAAAGTTCACAGGAATGAAAATACAGTAGGGCTGTAAATTTGTTTTTTAATGGTTTGAAATGACTTCAATGATTATTAAGATGACTTGAGCCCATCAACACACACACAGTTGGTTTCATACTACTTGATACTTGAAAATGCTGTAAGAAAAAAAACAGCCTACATCACAGCTCTCCATAGGGTTTCATTTATTTTGTTAGCAGCTCATTCCTTAAAGGTAGGGTAGGTAATTCACTTCAGAAACACTTTTTGTTATATTCCATGGAATGCTCTTAACGGATGTTAAGAGCATTCCATGGAATATAACAAAAAGTGTTTCTGAAGTGAATTACCTACCCTACCTTTAAGGAATGAGCTGCTAACAAAATAAATGAAACCCTANGCTCCGCTGCGGTGTGAACAGGAAAACCCGGTGCTTTTCAAGCTCCAGCTCCGAACTGGCCCTGAAACACCGTTGGTGTGAATGAGGTATCAGAGGAGCGTGGGGAGGGGCTCCTTATTTTCATCTAAAGTAACAGACAGAGAATCAGCACTTTGGAAACAGGGATGAAACAGAGGGGATTATGGGATGCTATAATGCATGATCTGTTTGGTATTTCAGAAAAACACTTCAGAGACATGTTTTGTATATATCTGAGACCTATAATATATTGATGTAAAACAGTATAATAGGGGACCTTTCAATGTGATAATATATAATTAGTTACTTTATAGTTTATAGTTTAGTAAGAATAATCTAAATGTGAAGTAACTAGTAACTAAACCATTCAAAGTAGAAATAGCACATAATGGCAATACTTAAGTCTAGTAAAGAACAACAGTAAATGTAGCCTACTAAAGTATGTAATGAAAACAACAAGGAAACTGATACATATATAAGTAAATATTCATTTTCTTTATTAAAAGACTCTTTGGTTTGACTTTGGTTTACTCTTTGCTACTATTCAAAGAAATATACACTTTCTGCAAAAGTCTTTAACATGTTTATAAAACATGTCTGAACAGCTGCGGAGTAAAAACAATATTACCATAATTATAATGTAATTTGTTCACCTTCAAATTACAAAGCATAAATATAAACATTCATCAAAATCCCACCTGTATTGACATCCTCTAATAAATGTGCAATAGAATTAGATTAGAAAAAGAATCAAAATAAAATCTATAGGATTACGGTAGAGTACTCTATAAATAGAAATAGAAAATCAAAAGAAATTAAAATAAATACACAAAGGAGTGAATAGTGCTAATATATATGATATCTACAATATAAAGCTTTGTTCAAGTTAATAGCTTGTTCTCTTATCTTGTTATTTACAGCGCTATTGTGGCTAACCGGTTTTAAAAAAAGATGGACAACATTTGATGAGCGAGACGAAAGTCATTCCAAATAAATCCAGACTGCAGGGACAGTGCATGGCGGAGGGATGATGTGTTGCATTTGCTACGCCAGGCTCTCCATCAGCTGAGTGTGGATATCCTGGAAGCTTGGCCTCTGCTTGGCGTTCCTCCTCCAGCAGCTCAGCATCAGATCATTGTAAACTCTGTCCGGACAACACAGAGGCTTCGGCAGGTACACCTGGGAGCATGACACATAATGTGACAGTAGGATTCATGATGAATGGGGGACATTACGGGTGATTAACGTACAACAAAACAACAATTTATAGATTTCACCTTGGAGAGGAATGGAATACATGTAACAGGATTAAGATTTAGGATACACAACTGTATTCTCTCACAGTTACATACAAAAAAGACACATTCAGATTACTTGTTAATTAAAAAAGAATGACGATTGCTAGCAGGATTACAATGTTACATAACATTTTAAAAATAAAAACAGATTTATTAAGATGTGTTGTGTTTCTTGTAAGAGGAGCACATTTCATTGAAACTTTACTGTTTTGTAGGCCCATGCTTTTGCTGTTTTATTTATTGCGTAATCAGTAGGGGAACAAAACAGAGCATTTTCAGTGTGATCAGATTGTATTTTTGCTTTGATCCCTCTCCCAGGACTGACAAACGTGAGTTATGTGTTGCGTGTGTAGATACAAATAAAGATAATAAAAAAAACACATAGATAATCCAAATGACAAAATATTAACGTTAACACATATAAAAAACAAAGTCAAAAATATCCCAGTTGCGGCCAAATAATATTATCGTGGGCGTCAGGCAGGACCACGGCACAAAGAGAGCCGAGACTATAAGAGATTGTTCTCTGGAGGAAGTGTAACTGAAATGCCGCCCTGCTCACCTGCTTGCCCTGGTCCCTGAAGAACTCTCCTGTGTTCTCGATGACCTGCTCGTCAGAGAGCTGGGAGTACGGCTGCTTCTTACACAGAGTCAGGATCTCCCACAGAGTCACACCGTAGGCCCACACGTCACTGGCCATGGTGAACTTCCCCTGAGAGAACAGACAGCAACAACAATGAGCATAGTCTTCATGTGGAAGCTGGTTTGTAATAATGATCACAGCTGCTATACTGTATAATGAGCAATCACAACATCTGGATTTATACTCAGGTTCTCAGGGAAGCCTTGTTTACCTTTATTTATGTTTTATTGTCCTTTAGTTCAAACCGACAGAAATAAAACAAGTGAGATTAAAAGATTAAGGGTAAAATACAATACGAGTAATTATAAGTAAAATGTCCAATTAAAGATGAAATCAATTGTAAAAAAAAGATCTATATTGTTTGTGTTGCATTTTTCAATTGAGTGTAAGGCTGCAAAAAAAAACGATCTTCCCTACACAATTATTGTTGCCAAAATTATTCACCATAATGATTGTGTTGCAATGTTTACTTTAAAGAAAACGCGGGGGGAAAACAATAATGATCTTTGTTAATTAATCTTTTAGTTTGTTCTTGTGTAATTCGTCTCTTTTTTGGCAAATAAGGTTAGATGCCTCAAATAAGATCTGTTGTTAACACAAGATAAAGAGATGTACATGATTTGTGGATAATACATGTGTAATTACCCCACTTGTGAATTTCCCAAATTATATTTGTCAAAAAAACCTGCTAACAAGAGGCCTTTCACTTAGCGGTGGTCTTGCAGATCCATGCGACCATGTTTTAGTGTGTGTATAGCCTACCGGTAGCTTTTACTTCTGCCGATTGCATTTACGCTTCAAAAATCATAAATGTGATATTAATATGTTGTATTACCCGGCTGAAAAAAACATGTTAAGTATCATAAACATGTTTTCCACATATAGTATTTTCTGCAAAATTCAATGGAAAAATCAAATTGATTTGTGTTGATTGAGCCCTTGATATGCTAACTTTCAGATCAGCCTACAAACACACGTCCTCACTTCAACGCTCTATATTCAATACCTTGAATCCTGTAGTTTGACTGTAGTCCAATTTAAGATGTATATAGTAAAAGCCAATGAACAACCATTTTTAAAAGTCTTAAAATCCAACTGGACCAACAGGACTGCTTTTTTCTCTTCCTCAGGTGCAGCGCTCACCAGCAGGATGCTCTCCCAGGACATCCAGCGGATGGGCAGCACGGCGCGGCCCTGGATCCTGTAGTAGTCCCCTCTGTAGAGGTTCCTGCTCATGCCAAAGTCAGCGATCTTTATGGTGTAGTTCTTCCCCACCAGGCAGTTACGGGTCGCCAGATCACGGTGCACAAAGTTGAGAGAGGACAGGTACTTCATACCAGACGCAATCTGCACAGCCATGGCGATGAGTTTACTGTAGCTGCAGAGGCAACACAGAAACAGAAGACAGTTGAAAATATGGTAAACATACAGTAGTGTTCAATGTTGGGGAGTAGCATGTAATTTCACTTTAAATGTAACTATATTTTGCAACTGTAAGCTTACATTTTGGCTACATTCATAATTGCATGGTAATTAATAATTAGTTTTTGCTATGTTAGTGTTGGTATCCACTGAAAATAAATGTTGGGCTTTAAAAGAAAAAGGAATATTGTATTACTATTATTTTAACATTGCTTCTAAACTTATAACTGTTAATACTGCATAAAAAGGTCTAAAGCAGTTTTAGTTGTTAATAGTGTACAGATATTGTAAGATATTTTCCCATATTAAAAAAGGACTTCATAAAACAACAGGACTATTTAGACCAGTGCAAGTTGGCAGGGGTGAAAAGTTAGGACGATTCTCAGGGCCCGTGACTGACAGGGGCCAAAACTATTTTAGAACATTAAGAAGTAACCTTTCATCATTCATCAATAACAGTGGCGAGCCATGACTTTTATACCTAGGCCCTCTGATCCTTCCGGTCAACTCTTCCATTCAACGAACGAAATTACAACAACTGTAACTAAACCTGCAATTTAATATATTTCTTATAGAAGGACTATCAAATTACTACTACGTAGAAATTTCGAGAGTAAATTTCTAACTCCACTATCGACACCATTGGTCGTACTTTTATCTCATGGTACGACTGTTTACCGGTTGCGATTTCACCATAATTTGAGTCCCAGACTCCCACGGTTCACCCACTACCTGGATTGTTTCACGAAAATTTTGTCCACCGTGAACACACTCGCGGCTCCGTCACGTCCTGAAGACCTACTCCTGAACACAGGTATCTCCCCTTGGTTGCTCAGGGAGGACGGACCAGCGACACTTTTGGTCGACGCCTTCTACGTTGTTCTTACGTTCCATTTTCCAAGTAGGAACAAACCGAAGAGTTTATTTTTTCATATGTTTCCCCGAGTCGTGTGAAAGCAGAGGTCGCCAAATAAAAGTCAGTTTCCAGTGACAATGCTAAGTGTAATTGAAGATGGAAGCTATCATAACCTTTTCATGGCTTGTATGAGTTCTTGTTTGTCTAGTATGGTCACTCAAAAGTCGGAAATCCTACTTGAATCACTTTGTTGTAATAAACAGGTCCATTGGACCTTATAAATATAAACCTCTAATAAAACCCAGAATTGTTATAAAGGAATACTTTATGTTTTATGTAAAAGTAAACGGTACTTTCTTGTAATGGTTTTTACAAACACACACAGTTGATATCAAGAATTTCTCTATCTATTTATATATATTTCTACACATCCAGAATTTCCATTCCTTGTATAAATGGTCTTATAATTACTTGCTTACATTAATGGTGTTTGTGTCAATTCTACACACCCATACCACAAGTTATTGAAAGAAAATTTAATTTTATCTTTTTTTGTAAAATCACACGGAAAAAGGGGCAAGAGGGGACACTAGGCTTTATTTAAATTTCATACTAAAACATGCATCAAGAATAGTCCCAATTTTATTACAATAACACTGTGGATGCAGTTACTTCGTCATTTACGTGTTATCAAACGCGGGCGACGCACGAACGTCTTGCTGAAGGAACTTCCTCTAGGCTAGGGTACAGGCGGAGTCCCTACCGGTGTGTAACACGGCAGGACGACGCGCGCACACACTCCTGTGGCTGGGGCAACACATACTAGTGGTCTCATGTACCTCTTGCCTCTGGGACTTGGTTCAAAGGAGACGTACGACGCTGACCTTCCTCCGCGACCAGGCCTCTGTTCCGTCTCGCCTCCTTCCTCCCCCTCTCATACCAGTCCACCGCGGAGTATGTGACTTGAACCTCGTCCAATCCCAAATCCCAAATCCAGTTGCGTAATTACTGTCCGACAGTAACTACGCAAAACGTGGCCCGGCAACAAAACTATAAGGCGACTTCATATGCGACACTGCATTATTGATACAAAAGAAAGAAAAAAAGCTCCCTTTCCCTC